AATACTGAAAATGGATTAAGTAGTAGTTAGATTGAACTATATTGAATTCATGATATTGAAGGAGAGTTATGTTTGATTGGATTAATTAAGTGTGATAAATTAGATTTATTATACTTAATTAAGATGTAATTTTAATTAAATAAAGTTGGTATTTTCTTTTATGATTTAGAATTAAAAGAAAATAGAAAATGAAATGAAATAATAATAATAACAAGCAAAGTGAAGTGAAGCCACTTTGATATTATTATTAGTTTATTTTGTTTTGTTTATTTAATTAATGAAATCATTAATATTTATTGGTCCTGTTGGGACTAGAACTCATTAATGAGAAAAACTTTCACTGTGATTGAGAAACTAGTTTAAAACTAGTATAAATACATCTTCCACCTTCATAATAGATAGATAAGCTTACTAGGAGATCTAACCGTTCTTTCAGAAAGGAGAAATCACGTGGACACCTAAGGTCAATAATTATTACCGCTAAGCTGGAAGTTCTGTAAGTTCTAACTCATATATGTTATTATTGTTATATTCGTTGTTTTGTCATAATCAGGAAAGATTTGTTTGGGAAAATTTTAAACTTCGTTGTTGTACTTTCGAGGTACGTTACATCAATTTCCTAACGCAAGGGACTCCCCACGATGATATCAAAGTCTCAACAGCTTTAAATCGTGAGTAGTTTCCAGTAAAACATCCCACTAGGCAGTATCCATAGGTTTGAACCAACAACATTATGTATTCTTCTTCTTCCGAGAGTAAAACATCATCCCCAGACGCAAATTATACTGTGAGATCTACCCACCTTCCGCATGGTGTGCTGATCCCACTTTAGGAAAGTGTCTTTCCCTTTTCTTTCTCCATGGAGCAATGCTCATTCCTTTTTTGCTTTTCTTTCTTTATTTTTCTTTTGGTCAATTCTTTTCTTTTTTCATAAAATTAAAATATTAAATATTTAATGTCAAACTTACTTTTTTTATCTTCATCCTAAATTATAATTGAATCTATTTTTTTATTCTTTATCAATACACAACAAAAATTTATTAATCTAAATAAAATAAGTATATTGCATTTCATATTCATATACGAAGTACCATTTTTGTTTCTGTAAATTTATTAATCTAAAAAAACATATTCACGGTTTACCAAAAGCAATTGTGCAATCAGGGACGGATTCAGGATATCGAGTCAAGGGGGGCGAATTTTTTCTGTTAGTATAGGGGGCGAAAAAAATTCGCTAGTGTATCGTGGCAATTTTTTCCGCTTGTGTAGCAGGGCGATTTTTTTTGCTACCATAGAGCTTTGCGGCTAATTTTCATTCAAAAAAATCCATCGGTACATACACGATGATATTTAAATCTATTACATTCTAAGTTTTTTTGAAAGAATATTACATTCTATGTTTAAACAATTGAAAAATAATTTTAATTTTTTAATTGTAAATGCTCTAAAAAGTATTGATACATTAAAGCATAAGAAATGACAAATCAAATGAAAATTATTTGAAGGTAAAGAGTTTAAAAGGTACACATCAACCAAGATTTTTAAATAACTTCTGCCTTGTTTATCCATATGGATCTTATTAGAATAAAGAATTGGTTTTTGAATTGCAATTTTTGTCTACTAAGGATGGTGTTCGTGGGTCACGAGAAGTTTTCTTAATATTACAATATTATGTGTGATATTATTATTCTAGAATAATATTATACATAGTATTGTTAATTCACATATATGGTGCATATTGTATTATTTGTATTAATGCTACAGTAAGTTCAAGTTTATTATCTATATATTCAAAAAATTGTTTTTAGAAAGTAATAAGTAAATGAATTGTGTAATTTAATGTCAATAAACATTTATATTTTAGATTCACTTCACATGATCTAAAAATTATTTAACTAGTGTGTATGGTATTTAATATTCTTCGATATTTTACAAAATTGAGTACTAATTATCTAATAAAGACAATTAAATATTACAAAGCTAGAAATTATTATATAATGGAGAAAATAATTTAAATACCCCAAACTTTAAAAATGTGTGAGTTAAGTACCCGAAACCTACATGTGTAATATATATACCCCCAACTTTACATAAAAAGTTATGTTATCACCATTACTATGTATTTTTTATTCAAAAAATGTAAACTTATGGTGTTAAGCACATGTTTTAAAATAGTTAAACATTTATAGAGATGTACTTAAAGCATCATAAATATACATTGTGAAAGAAAAAAACATATTTTCATGGTACTAATATTACTTTTTATATAAAGTTTAGGATATAAATATTACATATGAAAGTTTGGGGTGTTTACATCACACAACTTCAAAGTTTGGGGTAATTAAATTATTTTCCCCTTATATAATAGATATCCTATGTCTTAACAATGTGTTGTGCTATTGTTTATTCATTCAAGTTAAGTAAATTATTTTAGATGTTACTTTTTTTAAATCTCCAATTATGTACTCCGTATTACATTATGTAATGCTATATATAAATTTTTAAAACTAAAAGTTAAGGGGGGCGAAAACATATATATCTAATTAAAGTATGAAAATATTACATATATAAAAAAAAATTGAAAGTCCAAGGGCCCCCCCCCCCCCCCCCTTAAATCCATCCCTGTGTGCAATTAGACTTTTTTTTTTCATTATTTACATTGAAATCAATATTGTATTTCTAATACTATGTATTTGACAAGTTACATTTCGAATACACGTGAATTACATTGATCACTAACGTAAGTTACATATCTTTACACGCGAGTTACATCATTCATGCTACTGGAACAAAAAGAAAGAAAAAGTTATTGTACACGCGTGTACTGTTCACGCAATTTTTTTTTAAAATGTGCAAAACTACGTCGTTTTGGGAGTGGAGCACGGTGTTCACTGTGGGATGATAACACAGTATAAGAACTGATCCCCAGAGGGTGGGAAATACACTGGTTGCATACCCTGAGCAATACCCTGTTGTTCTGAAACAGACCGGTCTAGTTTTTTTTTTTTGGGGGGGGGGGGGGGCTTCATTGGCTTCTGGTTCATGACTTTTGTCGAACACCTTATATGCATAGGTTCAATCCTCTATTTCAGCAAGTTCTTGAACTATTTCATCATTTGCAGACACGTTTAAATAAAATGCACCAAGTTGCGAGGAGAAGTGGGCAGGATAGACACAGACAAAGGAAACAACTCAACACACAAAGGTTACTTGGCAAAATTAGGTTCTGATTTTTTAAGAACCAAGTAAAAGGATAAGCTAGAATCATCATTAACAACAACTGGAGGAGGACATTCTTCAACCAAATAACTAATCGTGACCCGTTCATTCGCAACAAATGCACCAATGCATGAATAGACCAAAGCAACAAAAGGAATATACATTATCTCATCTCGAACTATGAGACCATAAGTTTGATGGATAAGTGTACCCGGGGGTATCTATCCGAGGGGTTACTGCGGGGAGTAACTAGAGAGAAGTCAGAACATAAATAAGAGAGAGAGAGAGAGTATATAGTGGTGAGCGTATTGAACATGATTTACAAATGGGGAAAATAGTGCTATTTATAGTAGTAATAAATGCCAGATAGGGACACGTGTCATCATTCTGGTGGTCGAGGGGTCACCTCAGCGGGGTGGCACTGGCACTCGCATGTGGCCGCATTAATTGCGGTGATTGGATGTGATGTCTGTACTTGGTACGTTGATCCGGCGCATGTGGGTGGGAGATTCTGTCGAGGAGACGCCTTCGTCCGTAGATGATTGGCCGAAGGCTCTTCATACTGGGCCACCGGGGGCCCCTAGGTGCCGATGGCTACCGTTTCGCTGCTTTCTCTCGGACACTCTGAGTACTTTAAAGAAGCCGTGTTGTGCATTTATACCCCCTTCGGCCAGGGGGGCGAAGGCACCCCAATGCTCGTCGTGGGCTGCTTGGCACTTGGGGCGATGCAATTTGGGCCTGCCATGCTTCCTGGGCCTGTTGGGCCTTTGCTACAGTAGTGGGAGTCTATGGGCCGGGGGTTCCTGGGTCATATACTCCATCAAAGTTCTTTTATGACATAAAACATGGGAATTCTCCCAACTACCATCCACCTTTAGCATAAACGACATTTTGTTTTGATCTGAGTAAGAACAGAAAAAACAATTCAAATAAAAAGCATAAATCATTACAAAATATATTGACGTGAATATGTAACGGTGTGATTACAAAATAGATACATGTATAATGTGGTTATGTATGAACAAATAAATGGAAAACAACAAATAAAAAATCAGCAACAAAATAGTAATACAAATTAAACTCAAAGTTATAAGAACAAATAACAGAACAAGTAATAGACAAACTGAGATGTATTATGAACATCAAAAGCTATTGATGCAGAAGAATCTCCAAATCCAGTATAAAAAAATGATAAAACGTAGACATAAGTTTGAAGTGTTTTAGACAAAATTGCAGAAGAACGTAATTTCAGAGTGTGAAGAAAACTGAATCAAGGAATTCATAGACAAGTAAAATTCGAAGACATCGAACACAATCGTAATCAGAAAGTACAACAAGCAAACTTACAACACAAATTCGCAGAAGAAACACTCCACAAATTGTGATCAAGCTCAGCCGGAAGTTTGCATCTAACTCCAATCCGAATGAAGATTCTGACTCGGAATTGTTGGATTGAGTTCAAATTATTGAGGGAAAGTAGAAAGCGAAAGTCCTGAGCCAAGCTTGAAGAAGATCGAGCGAAAGATTTTGTTTCCTACCATGGACGACGCAGCGGGCGGTTAAGTCGTGAGCACAGAAGGAATGAAAGGACGAAAGGGGGAATATATTATGAGTAATGCAAGGGTATTTTAGGTAAGTTATATTTAAGTTTCCTAAAACTGGATTATTTGTGTATTTAAGAGTTAGTATTAGTTACTCCATTTATTTAATTTAATGATGGGTAGGGTAGGGTAGGGTGGTTTGGACTAATTAATGTGAAACAATTTCTACGCATGTTGTTGACCTTGTTATCAGTGTCATGCCCAGTGAGTGTTCGTTCTCTACCATGAAAGCTGCCCATTTTCATAAATTCCGGCCGAGTTGTTAATTGTTATTCAATCAGAATTTCAAATTCGGTGGAGTTTTTAGTAAATTAGAACTCTTCCACTCCGAATATATTGCCTCAAAAAGCTAGAAAGGAGAATCTGCCGACATTCGTTGCAGCCGCCAGCCGGCGCTATTTGGCTCTTTTTCTCCCTCCCATCCACAAAGAACATATTTATTCCGTCAAACCTCAATATAATTCCCCTGCAATTTCGAGTAGGATTGATTCGCGCAAAACTTTCCTTTGATCTATCCTTGGTTAATCATGCATTAATAATGAGTTAATTTCGAGTTTTCTTGTATTGCCAGTAGTACGGCGGTTCCTGGGAGTGCGGAGAAATGGGCAATTCCTTGAAGGAATTCTGGAACAAGAAGACATTGTTGGGTCTGGGCTTGGGACAGTTCCTGTCTCTTCTAGTCACTTCTACTGGCTTCCTATCCTCTGATCTCGCCAGAAAAGGTTTTAGTGTTTTTACCCTTTCAATTAAGTTCTGATTCTGGGTTTCTAGGCAGTGGCAATAGAGTAGTAGTAGTATTAAGCTACCTTTCATCTTGACGTATATGGCAGGAATTAACGCCCCCACTTCTCAGTCTTTCCTAAATTATGTGCTCTTGGCCTTATTCTATGGAGGAGTCATGATTTACCGAAAGAAGCCGCTCAAGGTCTGTCTTTTTCTCCTTTTTTAAAGTTTTAGTGTACTAAAACTGTGGTGGAACCAGAAATTGGAACTTGCGACTGAATTTTTAAATAACAATTGAAAGAAGAAACTTGCTTTTAACTATTGCAGTTCATGAGAAAGACAAGAACATTACAAAAAGAATAACCAGATACTTCGTATAATGCAACAATAAAAAAATATTACATGGAAAGAAAAAACGTGATACAGTACACATTGTTAGTCTTCCCACTTTGACTTTGCATGGAGTTAAAAAATTAAATTATGTAATAATGTAGCTGAGATTTATTTAGAAAGGAAAGGACCAATCTCAACCCCACAGGTATTTCCTTAAACAGATAAAACAAGAATACTTGGGGCTGACAGAGAAGAAAATAAGATTAAAATGGGGGAGAGGGAGTATCATGTCCATTTGTCTAGTTTTTATACTCCCTCCATCCCGTTGGACTTTGATAGATTTCCTTTTTTGTTTGGCCAAAAAACTTTACCACTTTCCTTTAAAAGTAATGAATTTGTTGGTAAACTTATTTCTCTCTCATCTTCACAAACCTCAATCGCACAACTTTTACTTTTGTTATTTCACATTCAACACAAAGTTGGCAATGCCTAATGGGACGGACGTAATATGATTTAATTATAAAATAATTGACTATGACTTTTTTATAATTTAATTATAACTTTTCTAGTATTTCGGACTTTCAGTATATTACGGAGTAGCAAATAAAAGTTTGTATCTGAAATTTGTCAAATGTTCGACTCTGTATTCTATAAATTATTTAAAAACATAAAATTGATTAAGAAATACGTTTTGAAAAGACGACCGGAGTTGAATAATGAATTAAATATACTACCTCCATTCTTTAATAATTGCAAGAATTTGACTTTTACACTATTCACATATTCTACTATGACCGCATATTAAGTAATGCATTAAGTGTATTAAAAAATAATGTGAAAAATATTGTTAAATATATCTTGATGTAAAATTTCAAAATATGAATTTTATAGTTGTTACTAATAGTCAATTAAATATATTAATAGTCAAAGGTGTAAGTTGGCAATTGGAAGAAACTGCAATTGGTGCTCTAACTGAGGAAGAGAAAATAAGGCTTTTATATGAGAACGAGGAGAAAATTCTTACTCTACTCATAGTCATACCCCTTTTTGAGTTTGGCCGATTGTCATGTTTTCAACTTTGACAAATTGATAATTTGATATACTTTTTAGGACTTGCTACTAAATTATACGTAGTATTAGTAATGTACAACAAAGCTTATTCATCACGCTTAACAGGTTTGTTTTTACACCTCAGATTTTTTAGTTTTCATTTTAAGGCTGTATACTTATGTCATTCATTGTTAACTATTTCCCTGCAGGCAAAGTGGTATTATTATGTTATTCTTGGGTTGGTTGATGTAGAGGCTAATTTTCTCGGTAACTAAATCCATGACGTCCTTTTTTATTTAAAAACATTGAATTTGTGTTGCATGCGCTTTACAAGTCTTACATTTAAGTCTAATTGAATCATTATTAACTTGCATGATATCGAATTTTGTCACTATTTTTATTCTAATTTTAAAGTTTCAGAATATGTGTTTGTTTTTTATTACTAAATATTCTATTGAAATGCTCAGTAATATTAACATTTGCTTTAAGAACTGAAGAACTGCTCAATATACTTTTTTTATTACTAATGTGCAAAAACCGAAGAACATATTACTAGCATTTACTCCTTTGACAAAAGATCTTCAGTCTTCACTGCTCTCAAGTCGATCTGTCCAACTTGGGTTTTATGTTGGTAGTCCTCCAGTTACGTAACTTTATGCATTTTACAGTGGTGAAATCTTATCAATACACATCCCTAACGAGTGTCATGCTATTGGATTGTTGGGCAATTCCATGTGTTATGCTTTTCACTTGGATTTTCTTGAAGACAAAATACAAAATTGGAAAGTTCATTGGTGTTTTTGTTTGCGTTGCTGGTCTTGTACTGGTCATCTTCTCAGATGTACATGCAGCGGATCGATCAAGTAAGTAATTTCAGAAGTAAGAGTCAATGTTAATGTGCGTGTGTTCACTTTCCTGCCCGAAACAGTTAGTTCCTTTGGGCTCCTGTTGGTATTCTCAACGTATAACTATATCGATATCCCTTGAATCAGCTGCTTTAAATATTCTGTCTCAACTTCAATAATGTTTCCAGGGGAATTAATATTCTTCTTTATACACCTAGTAAACTCATTTGGCTTTTTTTCTGTATAATTTAATATCTTGTCCGTATTATTACGAGAAAATGTTTGAAATGTGTTCCCTCTGTTGGATATAGGTGGGAGCAACCCTCTCAAGGGAGATTTACTTATACTTGCTGGAGCCACATTGTATGCTGTGAGTAATGTCAGTGAGGTAAGAAAACCTAGAGCATATTCATAATGGCACTTGTGAATTAACTTGCTCACTTTTTGAACCAAAATACTATTTTTTTGGTAAGGAAGTTTCATTTATTAGTAGTGAGCTGTGAAAAGGGAGCGGTTGCTCGAGTTCATAAAAGTAACCTTTCATAAAGTAAATTACTAATTAAACCCTCTACGTTTTATCTCATACTCTTTACAAATATCAACCAGTCAAATATGGAGAACAGCCATCTAAAGTTTCAATTATTACAATTGAAAGAATACTTCAATTTTTTTCCTCTCCTAACAGCTAGTTTCATTTTTTTCACTCTCTTCTCAGGACCTTCTTTTAGCCTGCTATGCAGTCATTCACTTATACCTACTTTCTCGTTAAATCATCAATGCAGGAATTTTTTGTTAGAAGTGCTGATATGGTTGAACTCATGGCATTTTTGGGTCTCTTTGGTGCCATTGTCAGTGCATGCCAAATGTATCTTTTGGGCTTGGTTTAATGAACATATAATTTTCATGTTGAATTTAACTCAACCAATTTTATGGGATTAATTTTGATTCCTATTTGATTACATATTGCACTAGCTATTCTTAACTAATCCTACAGAGGCATACTTGAGCGCAGTGAATTGAAATCTATTCATTGGACAGCAGGATCGGTTAGTCTCTTGGCCATCCCTTACTTGTCCATGTCATGCACTGATTATAGAAGCGTACATCCCTCCACATGCAAAAACAATTTATGAAAACACATACCATATTATTTGACATTTTGACCCAATTGAGATAATTATATCATTATCTGTACCAACTTTACCAATATCCTTGTTCGTTTGAAATTCTAAATGGCGGAGAAGGTGGAAGTGTCTAGGTCACTATATGGATCTTTTATGCTGGATGCTATGATGATGCATTCTTTTCTAAGGCTTACTTTGATTAAATGCAATTCTTTATTATGTTTCATCTTCAATAAGTTTCTTCTTGATATAAAACTCAAATAGATCCAACGTGTGTTGATTAACTTAACTGTATTGCGCCACATTGTCTACATTGGAAACAAATTTTGTGTAACCCCTCCCATTCAAAGGCTTGCACCCTTTCAAAGGCACAAACTCTTTTTCTGTAGACACCCAGAGTAGTCTTGTCAACCTTGATAGCCTTTCTAACAAAAATTCCATCTTGATCAGTGAATCTTTATCTAAGAGCATTAGCATGACCATACATAAGTGACATGTCACTTGTTTACGATTAATCTTGCTTGGGAGTTTAGAAACACGGATTGGGAGGAACAAGGATGACACATACCCAACTTTGTCTCAATCAAGATATGATTTCACAAAAGAGTATTAAGTATCACTATATATCATTAAATAGGTTATGCCGGATAAACAGACATTTATACAACTTAGGTAGCCATAATGCATTACTAGATACTGCTTATGGTTGTGGGGCTGAAATAGGATTTTTCTTCCCACCACCAACGCTGTGAAAACCTTCGGGGCCACTCCCCTATGTGAGACAAATTATTAATATTGAAATATGACATTAGTTAGCTAACCTGAAATTACTGAAGAACTTCTAGCTATAAAACCCCCTTTCCTCTTCTTTATTTTGAGGTAGTGTAGCCACCATTTATATAAATACACACACATGCACATGCAATTTGATTTTGAGAGGAAACAGAGCTCTAGCACACACCATGTGTGTGCGTGTGAATACCGATTGAGAAGAGCGATAATTTATTCTGGTGCTGTCTGGCATCACCAAGATCAAACTTCCTCATTAATCTGGAATTATTGTAAATATTCTGTAATGCAATATCGTATATAATATGAATATATGAGCATGAGAGCCTTCATTTGAATTTTGGTTCCACTGCTTGATCTCTGTCTGCAATCCAACATGCACTTGGCACTTTAAGTGTTGTCGTTGCATTTTGAATTTTAGTTTCACGGAACAAGAGAGTCCATTTTGCAAGTGACCAATCACTTAGATTTTAAATGGCACATTGTCCACTTGAGGAGAGTGTTAGAATCTCAGTTTTGGAAAATTAAAGAGAGAACAATAGATCAATAAGACTTTCGGTTGAACGATCTAATCTGTTAGTGTGGTTTGACCAAAGCACTTATATGTCCCAATTGAGTGACATAACTTAATGCGAATTATCTCCTCTATTAACAAAAGCGGGAAAGTGTAGTTTGTTGTGAGCCATGAGGAGATGGGATGGCTGTGGTTTGCTGGTTTGTAGAAGACGAATGTTTTGTGTATTGGATAGTTGATGCTGCCAGCTGATAATGAACTACAGAGTGTCAAATGGACACAATTGTGGAATAGTCCTGTAGGTCTTGTGTTGTGGACTATGCACAGAGAATGAAGTTCAAGTGGAGAATCATTTCCTAAGAAATCTGTCATCTGTTTGAGTTCTGCTATTACATCAGATAGAGCATTATATTCAGGGTTAAGTGAAAGAAAATTGCCCATGATACCGGCAACAGAACCAGATGTGGACCACATCTGGTGGTGGACCTGGAAAAATCTCAGGCTATTTAATGAAGAACATGTATGTGGGTTGTGATTATATTCTGAACCCTAACTCCCTAGGGACCGGTTTGTTGAGATCCATCACTTTCTTAGAGAAATTTCCTAATATAAGGAGAATATCCAAAGCCCAATATAATATAACTGCTGCAGTAAGTAAAGTACTAAACTAATACAAACATCTAAATTACCAGTTAAATAAGAAATATGATTATATAGACACCTAATTCCCACAAGTGTGTTATTATCCTGCTGATTATTAAATTCGAATTCTGTTTTGTAATAATATTTGCTTCATTATTGTTACATATTGCCTTTTACTAAATTTTCTTTATTTCTGTTCATTGATGTTCTTTTTAATATCTTATTTCAGACACTTCCTTTTATTGGATTTTCTCTGGCAATGTTTTTCTTTTACTCAGGTGTTCCCATCTTACTCAAGGTATGCCCGGTGTTTCTCTAACCCGTACAATTAAAAAAACAATTAATTCTTGGCTTACTATTCCATATTTGAATCCTAAAGCTACACACTTGGCTTCTTTCTCAAAATGCATTAGTTAACAAGTCCACTGATGTCAAAGGAGGCAGTCTAGTTTAAATGTAGCTACATTTTTTTATTGCTTGTATTGTCAGTGGGGGATTCACAAAGGGGCCAGAGGGGGGCTCGACCCCATCAATCATTTCGTAGTGTATATACATGTACAAATATGTATACAAAGGTTTTGGGGTCAGCTAACATGAATCAATCCATGATACATGTAGAAATATGTATATACTGTAAAATTATATGTTGCAATAGGAAACTTCCCCCCCTCCCCCCCCCCCCCCAGTATAATTTTTCAAGCTCCGCCCCCCCAATAAGACATTTCTTGCGGTCTCTATAGTTTTCTTCTATTACAGTCTTGCTTCCCTTTTTTGCAACCTGCCCTTTTTAATATATATATATATATATATATATATATATATAGAGAGAGAGAGAGAGAGAGAGAGAGAGAGAGAGAGTAACATTCCTGTCCGATCCGGCCGGACAGGAGGCTCCTCCAGCCACCTCAATTTGATGTGGTTCCGGGGGTATTTTTTGGCTGAATTTTTTTGTGTATGTTCCTCATCAAGTCTAGTTCATCCATACCAAATTTGAGCAAAAAATTCAATCGGGAAGGTCGTAAAATGATTTTTGCATGAAAACTGTTCCAGAATATACTTATAAAAGCAGTTTTCATGCAAAAATCATTTGACGACCTTCCCGATTGATTTTTTTGCTCAAATTTGGTATGGATGAACTAGACTTGATGATGAACATACACAAAAAATTTCAGCCAAAAATACCCCCGGAACCACCTCAAATTGAGGTGGCCGGACGGGCAGTTCCTCTGAACCTACCGGAGGTGAAGATTAGTGTGTGTGTGTGTGTGTGTGTGTGTATATTGCAAAACATGAGAGTAACACATATGGTGATATTGAGTCCCACAAGAGCTGCAAATATTTGTTTTGTAAATTAAAATAGAATTATTATTTCTGAAAGAATTCTCGTAGATACGGATAGAATGATTATCCCGAAAATTCATCATGTGCAGATTAGTGGCTCAACAATGCTGAACCTGTCCTTGCTAACATCAGACATGTGGGCCGTTTTTATTCGCATTTTTGCATATCATGAGAAGGTTTGTTTAATATTCTGGTGTATATAATGGGTAAATGTTGGAAATGAAGTATATAAAACTGTTGAAGTTAGTGAGCTGCTTTAAAAAATATTAGCATGCTGAAAACTGTATGTTTCTCCAGGTTGATTGGATGTACTTTGTAGCTTTTGCTGCTGTTGCTGTTGGGCTCATTGTTTATTCTGGGTATGCAATATTACCTTGTTGATCAGTATTGTTTCTTCTTCTGAGGGAGTTATGGGGCTGAGGGTAAAATATGGTCTTTGCTTCAAAGAACTGTTGAATGATAAACCCAACACAATCATAGTACTTTTTGGATATTGAAATAGTAATTTCTCAAGTCCTCATGATACCCTAACAGCCTAACCCTAGTGTAGTGCTTTTAGTGTGAGAATGTGAGATGAGTGGTACAACTGGGGAGCCCATTAGACTATACTACTTTCGTTTACTTTATATGCTCAAATTTTCTTTTATAGAAGTTTTTTACTCCCTCCGGTCCTAAATAAAGTTCGCGCTTTTGTTTTTGGGCCGGTCCAAAATAAAGTTCACACTTCTTCTCCCTTCCTTATTTGGCAAATTATCTACATCAAAACAGTGCAAAACAGTGCTAAATAGTGTCACAACAGTGTACTCTACAGTAAAGTCAAATTTATTTTCTTAATTTGTGTGAAGTCAAACACTGAACTTTATTTAGGACGGAAGGGAGTATGACTTGCTCTACTTTTCATTTTTTGGGAACTTTTCCTTTTTTTTCATTCATAAAAGACTACGATAACCTTCTTTTTTATCTTCTATTTTCGGCTTCTCCCCCACTTTTTATACCCTAACTTTTAAACACTATTTACTATATTTACAACTTTACTCTTAATTTCCATAAAGAATCTACGGGAGTGAGTAAAACTGAAAAGAGAGATACTATATTAGAATTAAATCCCCTTGAGGGGGTTAATTATTATACCTCAGTACCAGATATGTAACTGAAAGCAAATTGAGCCTTTTGACAAAAAGGATCTGAAGAGGTTTATGAAATTCATCCTCTCCATTAAAAGGAAAAAGAAGCTAAACTGCATGCCTCTAAAGCTCTGACTATGCAATTCTGTTGTACTAATTCTCGGAGATTCTGCAACAACACTAACAGGAAAAACAATATGCAAACTTTTATTTCAGGGCTGATAAAGAGGCTGAAGTTGCCGAACTGCGCAAACCATTAGACGAGGGGGCCGGTTTGGACAACGGCACCCAGAAAGGTGCTGGATTCAGGGGTAAGCAGGAATCTGGTGCCTCAAGCAGGGATCATTAGGTGCTTGAAGCAATGTAGATACCATAAACGATACCCCCGAGGGAATAAGTCAGATGTTGAAATTTTGCCTTAATTCTTTAGAAGTTTAGAGTTTAGGACTTTAGGCCTATTGATTTTTGCTCTTCCATCCATCTTTGTAGAGAAAATGTATCAAGATGGGCTAAAAAGCATAAGTATTATCAAACTACCCTTTTCTGTTTCTGAAATATAATAGAATTTTTTGAAATGGCATAAAACTGAGCCCATAAGACCTCTTTGAGTAAAAAGATAAAAATTGAAACCCGTAAGGGTGGCCAAGTAGAGAGGTCATGAGTTCAATTCCCCTACCAACACCTTCTCGGTCGAGCTTGTCCAGTGTGATTTACCTGATTGGGTTTCCCTATTACCAAAAAAATATCAAAAAATTATACATAAGACGTTACTATTCTATTTGCACTTCAACCTTTCGACATCAATCAACAACCCACGTCCATTGTATTCATTTATTCGGTCTTTGGCATTCCAACTTCCAAAGAACGAATAAAGACCAAATAAATGAATGTGAAAATCCTAAAGCCAAATGTACTCTTGTGAAAATTAGGGAAATCCAATCCGTAGAAGATAAAACTCCAATAGAAGTCGAGGATTCAAACATACTCCGTAGTTAATAAGAAATCAAAAAGCAAAGGGATTCAGGTACACAACAAACTACTTTGAACACTTTCGAGTATTTGACCTATTTGGCATGGCGATGTTGGTGTTTTGTTTATTGTCAACCAAACTTTTGTATTTGCCTATCAATTATGACCAATTTGACACGTTTGACTGATGATTAATAAAGTAAAAACTGTGTGGTTGAGATTTGTGTAGAAGAGAGAAAAATGATAGCGACCACAAATTAATTGACTAAAATGAAAAGCGACAAAGTTTTTAAAACAAATAAAAAAAGAAATTTGGCCAACTAAAAGTTTGGTTAAATTTTTTCTCACAAATTTCCCTCTCTTTATTTCTTATGCTCTCGATTTTCTTATTCTCATCTTCTTATTACATATGATAGATAGTCTATACCGGGATACCGCTAGTGATATCTAGAGATAAGTCAGAGCAATAAGTAAGAGAGATGAAGTGTAGTAGCAATAAATATTCAATTAACCATCCATTACAAAGCTCCAAAGAGGAGTACATGTAGGTGAAATGCGGTCATGGGCTGCTAGGCTGGGCCTAGCAGGCCCAATTACATAAAAGGGGGCTAATGGGCTGTACAAAACCTAATATGTGCAGGGGTGTTCTGAAGTGCCGAAGGCATAATGGCTGAGGGCATAATGGTCGAGGGCATTATGGCCGAGGGGGTTGCCACTTGCCGAGGGTCCCGTCGAGGGGTGCTGTCGAGGGGGTCGCCGAGGGGGGCTGCCGAAGGGTCGCCGAGGGTCCCACCGAGGGGTGCTGTCGAGCGGGTCGCCGAGGGGTGCTGCCGAGGGGTTCTGTTGAGTGTCTAGGTTGCATGAGTATGTGGGCCAGGGGGTCTTGTACCATATACTCCATCAACATAGATTTGTTTTTCCTATTTATGTATTGCCTTTTCCGCCCTATCAAAAGTGTTTTTTATGTAGATTTTTCCCTCGATAGGTTATTATTACATTTTTCTTCTTTCTCGTTTTTACCTTCTTTCCTTTATGTATTGATATTCAATTTAGCTCTCTTTATATAAAATACTTGTTCCACCCTACACGTTTTTTTCTTTTTTGTTCTTTTTGTTCTCTCTTTCGCCGGTTCTTGACTGGTTGATAACTTGTGACTTGTCGTTTTAGGTTTTTCATTTTCCTTTTTCCTTCTCTTTGAAATTGATTCCCCTTCTATATGTCTCATTTCATGTACAGAATACGAAAAAATTCTTGTTGTACACGGAATTAGTACACAACTTGTAAGCACCCCCTAGTTGCATCTGCACATAGGCAACTCGTTTGAAAAATGGTAGGATTTTATGTCAAAATGCATGTGTACACATGCAATATACTTCGTATAATTTATGTACACATTTTTGTGTACACAAGCAGTACTCAAAGAATATATGGAGATTTTTTTTGTCATTCTTACTTTTGCCATTTTTTATTTGTCTTTTTCATTCATTCTCCTTCTTCCCTAGTTTTTTATGAGAAGAATTTCCGTGATGGAGTTAATATCACTTAGATTAATTTGAATTCGGAAAAGGGAATAGATATATTAATAATAGAATTACGATAAGAAGAATAAAAAGGAAAAAAGAACAAGTGATAGTAAAAAGTAGGGTGGGAAAACATTTTTTTATAATATCAAAATTAATCCTAAGACAAATGAAATTCAATATTAGGAAAAGGAAAAAACTTATTGAGGAGAAAAATAAACAAAAAGTATTCTCCAAATAGGGCGGAAAAGGGATAAAAACAAGAAGATGAAAAAATGGATAAACGTGTCGAGAGGATAAAAAAGAGAAAACTTCTAGGGTGAAAACAAAAATAGTTATGTATGAGAATGTTTGAAGAAAATTAGTCAAAAGTGAGAATTTTTATTCAATGTCTTTCAAAGAAAAAGCAAAAAAACTTGAAACAAGTTGGTTATCAACTAGGCAGTTGGTTATCAACTAGGCAGGGATCAGTGAAAGAAGATGGATGCAAAGGTGTCATTTTCATATTAGAGTTACATTAGACTATTTTAAGAAGAACGGTGAAAAGTAAGATTATTAGTTTCAATTTTCTAAAGAAACATGCTTAATTAGACCTAAGATGATTTTGTATATTTGCCTGAAATTCACTTATAAAATGAAATGTATGTTTTACTCGTTTTTAGAGTAATGTTTTAGTATTGTATTTTAGTCAAACCATATTCGACCTTGATGTAAAATATTCACATTTAAAAGAAATTAGTGCTCCCTCATCCCAAAAAATACTTCTCACTTTCCTTTTTGGGCCGTCCCAAAAAATACTTTCCACTTACTAAAAATGGAAAGTTTCTACTCCTAAAAACTCTATTTTCCCCTATTAATAATTTACCTTCCCACACTCTCTTTCCCACTCTCTTTGTTCGATCCATTTTTTCGGCACTCTGTCGCATCATCTCATTACCCTTGCCCACCCCTCTCCCTCTCTCTTACACTATTTCGATGCACTGCCTCCCCTTCTTCACCCTTCTGTCCCTTTACCATTCTTTCCTTCTCTGATTTCAAATCCACTACAACCCTAGTTTCTTTGTCGATCGAATCGCCTGTCCTTTTTTGAAATCCCTAAACCTTACATCCGACTTCCATGGATCTAGAATCAAGCTCTATAATCCTATGTGAAGATCTAGGTCCATGCAATGAATGCATGGATGAGCTGATGGTGTCGAACAGTGAAATGGAGCGAAATGGAGCCAGTCGACAAATATGGAGAAGGTCTAATGGACCTTGTGGTTCCGGATAGCGAAATGGAGTCGAATGAGGATGACAGTCAAGGTCCGATGGAGCTAGTGGTTCCGGACAACGTAATGGAGTCGAATGAGGATAACACTCAAAGTTCGATGGAGCTAGTGGTCCTGGACAGTGAGCAGGAGAAGGATGGTGAACGCCCCAAAGAGGTTTGTCATTCCGAACAGTGAAGAGCAGAAGGAGAAAAGACAGAAAGAGGTGGAAATGCACCATTACGCTCTCCTCGTTTAGAGGCCTTTTTGAAAATCATCCTACCCGCCTGGGAATCTAGGATGTGGGACGTCGATGTTTGATTCCTTTCTCAAGCAGGGGAGTTTCTTTCTTAGTCTCTTGTCCTATGTTTGAGTCCTTTCTGTTCCTTGTGTTTCTGTGACCATTGTGTAAGGTTATTGTTGTGGACTTGCTTGTCTGCCTTATCTTACATATACGTTGTGTGTGTAGAAGTTTTTGATTTTGGGGCAACAATGATGTCTATATGGTGTTTCATTTTCTGAAATGGTTGGTAATGATGAAAATGTGGGCTGGTTTAGGATTATGTGATGTTTGGTTGGTATTTATCTAAACTTGTGTTTCTGTAACCACCGTGTAAGACTATTGTGATGAGCATATGGACTGAGTAAGGTTAGTGTGAGGTTGCAACTTGCAATGATGATTTTTTTTATCTGAGCATTGTTTGTTAGACTGATGTGATGACCATGTTGATCTGAGCAAAGTTTGTATGAGGCTACTATGATGACAATTTAAGTCTGAGCATTGTTTGTTAAGCTGTTGTGATGACCATATTTGTTTGACCAATGTTCGTAAAAGGCTGCTATGATGACTATGCTCAGACTATTTCGGCACTCTGTCGCATCATCTCATTACCCTAGCCCACCCCTCTCCCTCTCTCTTACACTATTTCGATGCACTGCCTCCCCTTCTTCACCCTTCTGTCCCTTTACCATTCTTTCCTTCTCTGATTTCAAATCCACTACAACCCTAGTTTCTTTGTCGATCGAATCGCCTGTCCTTTTTTGAAATCCCTAAACCTTATATCCGACTTCCATGGATCTAGAATCAAGCTCTATAATCCTATGTGAAGATCTAGGTCCATGCAATGAATGCATGGATGAGCTGATGGTGTCGAACAGTGAAATGGAGCCAGTCGACAAATATGGAGAAGGTCTAATGGACCTTGTGGTTCCGGATAGCGAAATGGAGTCGAATGAGGATGACAGTCAAGGTCCGATGGAGCTAGTGGTTCCGGACAACGTAATGGAGTCGAATGAGGATAACGCTCAAAGTTCGATGGAGCTAGTGGTCCTGGACAGTGAGCAGGAGAAGGATGGTGAACGCCCCAAAGAGGTTTGTCATTCCGAACAGTGAAGAGCAGAAGGAGAAAAGACAGAAAGAGGTGGAAATGCACCATTACGCTCTCCTCGTTTAGAGGCCTTTTTGAATATCATCCTACCCGCCTGGGAATCTACGAGAATTTGAAAACTATAAGAGGGTATGCGACAAAAATACTCATTGTATAAAAATAAAGATCTACATAAACCTTTTGATTAATTAGTTGTCATACCCTCTTATAGTTTTCAAATTCTCGTATAACTAGTATTTAATACTATCGTATTTTTTAATTAAACTTAACAAGTTTTGAATTTTTAGTATTTTGATTTTTTATATTTCCTTTGTTACTACTTACTAATATAAATTTACACTTCCGGGTAATTATTTTTAATTTTTTTGTTATATTTTTTTTTACATATTGGCCCGCGGGCCAACCCGTTTAACCCCCGGGTTAGGTGGGTTGGGTTAGGGTTGTAGAAATTCTGGCCCGTCAT